TTATAAGCCCAAGCAAACGACAAGCCTGAACCTTCCACCCAACATGTGGCCCAAAGGCTTAGGTAATCGCCTACAGATTAGGCAAGAATTCCAACCTTGTACTAACCCATTTAAGAAGAAGAATAGACCACTTATAAAGGCAATTGCTGCTATTTCATTCTTAGTTTTGTTTTATATTGAGATCCAACTAAGCTAAAATAACTTAGCAACAAATAAAAGGGGCATGGTTCAACATGTAGTTTGGTTCTTGTGAAGATGGGAGACATGGCATTGATAAGATTACAGGACATAGCTGGCATTCCCTCTTTAAAAGGTCAAGCAATAGGCCCACCATACTCCGAACAAGCAACAAGCAGGGCAGCAAACTGTTATGGAATGAGAACCCCAATCATTACAAAAAAAAGAAGAAGAAGGTTATCTATTTTCCAATTTCAATGGAACCCTACCTAGATGCATAAGAAAGATTGAACAATCACATGTTCTGATATCAGGGTCTTACAACATTTTCAGAACATAGAATTGTGCTTTGGGTAATGGGCTAAAGTAACTCCAATGTCCAAATTTTCATGTCACATGAGGTACTCAATTAGTTAATTTTTGTGATATGTTATGGGCTAAAGTGATTCTAATGTTCAAATTTTCATATCACATGAAGTATTGAATTAGTTAATTTTTGTGGCTGTATTAGGTCAATGCTTTACTTAGATCTATCACGTTTGTGACATGATAACATGAATTGTAAAGTCTACTTAAAATTGTCTATGTATAGAAAGAATACAATTTTACATTAGATGTCTTACTATGTTTTTGAGTATATTCAAAAATAAATTCACGAAATATCACATAAAAAAAATTGAAATCACAATAAATGAGTAGAGTTTACCCTAAAAATAAATCAGTAGCAAAATGGGATTCCAGTGCTACTAATGTTGGGAGTTTGATTTTCGTTTCCTTCATATCTTCCTCCCTATATAAGCTTCTTAGCTGCTTGGGAATCCTTTTGTTTCTCTTACCGAGTAATTTTCTTTCCTGACAATCATATTCAATGCACTTAACTCTGCTTGAGACAAATCTTGTAATCCTAAAACTAATATGCATTGAAGGCCAGGCAGGAAGTAATTCAGTTTTGTAGTACGGATCTCAATAAATTGAAAAGAGATTTCACCATGTGCAACCCACACCTGGAGATATTAAGCCATACGTTTCAAACCCACAAAGAAAATTTAATGCTTTGCCATCTTTATGGTCAAAACCCTTTTTCCACCCCCATGAAAACAAAGCTTTCCCCAGTCTTGGATCTTGAACTATTGCCAGGTTAGCATGTTAAATGTACAATATTCCAGGGGCCTGGAATAATAATATCAGTGTCCTGAAACTCCTGGAAGCTCAAAATTGTGCAATAATTGGAGAAAAAATGATATAGCCCTCAGGAGCTTTCTGATTAGGCATCTCTAGCCCTGTCTTTTACTATTAGGTTTTCCATTAAATTTGGTATGGATTTGGATAGGCAGAGAAGAAGACTGAAAAGGTTTTGCTCAGTGCTGTTGTCAAAACCTTTTTCCACCCCCATGAAAACAAAGCTTTCCCCAGTCTTGGATCTTGAACTATTGTCAGGTTCGCATGTTAAATGTACAATATTCCAGGGGCCTGGAACAATAATATCAGTCTCCTGAAACTCCTGGAAGCTCAAAATTGTGCAATAATTGGAGTAAAAATGATGTAGCCCTCAGGAGCTTTCTGATTAGGCATCTCTAGCCCTGTTTTTTACTACTAGGTTTTCCATTAAATTTGGTATGGATTTGGACAGGCAGAGAAGAAGATTGAAAAGGTTTTGCTCAGTGCTCTTGTAGCTAAGTTTAAAGACAAAATAATTGAGTAGGTGAGTTAGTGTGCATGTCTTTGTTTGATTCAGCTTTGTGATTACTGAGTCCTATATTATACTTAGTAAGACTCACAATTAATTTGCTAGCTAGTGGGGTTTGAGATGACCCTCCACTAACTCTTTTCCACAACGTTAGAATATATATATTTGATGCTGATCAGGTCTTTGGATTTGGTCTAATTCGTGCAAAACAAGAGATTAAATAAAAGAAAATTTAATTTGGAGTCTTCCACCTATGTTTTCTTTTTGTTCTGACATATTTCATTGTTCCCTTGCTCTATATCATTTGCAGCTAGCTACTTCTAGCTAGCTTACCTAACAAATAATCTTATTTTATATATTAATCCTTAGTCTTACTCTCTATAAGAATACAGGATAAGTCTAAACTTCTATTACTATAACCTTCACCTGCATTTCTTATAATTTCAATTTTTTTCTTGATTAGTCTTTTCTATAATGAGTTTGGTAATATTATTAAGAAAAATTAACAGTAACTCTTCTTCGAACAAAATTTACCATTAATTGAAAGAAATAATGTAAGATACTGTATGAGAAAAATTGATACTGCAGGAGATGGAAGTAGAACTTACCCTAAACATAATTAGTGACCATGAAAGAGTGGGAAGTGGCCTGTATGTTTCCAATACCTAACCTTTGATTACTTGAGGAAAAGAAGTTGCAGTGCAGCTTCAGCCATGTTTGATTCTTTCTTCAACAGGTTGGTGTGATGGAGACAAACTTTGACTTAAACTAAATTCTCCTTTACGGCTCAACCACTCCTCCCCACACTGGTTCAATTCAACCATTGGAGCCACCTTAAACACCAAAGAATGGTTCTTTAGTTTTCTTTTATTGGGGGACTCTCAATGATTATGGCACTTAACCAAAGGCAAAATCAGGAACAAATAAATAAACTAATCATTGTGCTTAAATATGGTTGCGTGGGCATGCATCTAAAGTTTGCTACTTTAAGAACCCTTTGCTTTTGTATTCATAAAAGAGATCTTCTCATTTAATTATTATTTATGTAATCACACGCTTTGTGAAAAGAGAAAGAGCAAGAGAGAGAGAGAGAAATCTTGGTGTTGTTTATAAATAATTGATCATGCTCTTCATGCTCCTAAATCAGTCATAAACTCATGGAATTCATTTAGGGAAAACTACTGGCTTTTAGTTTCCTTTTAGGTTAACAATTGGGGTGTACCAAACCTATGGTGTTTCATAATGTGATTAGTGAAAATAACTCGAATTTTTTTTCATATATATAAAGTATAATGTTTGAAAATAATTTTTAAATTATTTAAAAAAATTTAATTTTTTTTATTTTTTATTACGTTTAATCAAGTTAATATATCATGTCACGTAATATTGATATGATATTTGATATGTAAAATAAAAATGATCATGACATTATGTTATGTTATCATTCATTATAATATGTCAACATATTATATTAGTGTCATGTGACATATAATGATAAAAATATTAATAATTAATCAATCATTAGTCATAATAGCTCATTTAATTCAAAATAAAAATATAAAAATTTAATTGAATTTATAAAAATAATAATAATTTATTTAAATTTTTTTGAAATAGTTTAATTTTTTTTAGATATTATCTTTTTAAATAAAAAAATTATATATATATATATATATATTTAAAGCAACATCTATCATGTTGTAAATTAATGCAAGTATTTAAGATTTATTCCTTTTTTTTATTTTAAAAACAATAGAGCTGCCACTTTCCTTTTGATTAAATTATATATGTTTGGTCTATAAAACAATTAGTTTGTTATAAATGTCCCATCATTTTAAGAAAAAGAACCTTATATTAAACAAACCAAAATTGAATTGGCGTTTTCAATTGTTTGATTTCGGGGGCTTTGAGTTCATATTGCGACGAGTCGTTTTCGTGGAGCAGCTGCTGCTGCTGCACACGGACGCGCACAAAAGAGAGCATAATCCGCCCCTAACCTCCCTTTTGGCCACCCTGCCATGATTGAGACCTTTCCTTCTTTCGATTTTCTTCAACTTAATCACAAAATAACCAACAATTTGATGGGAATGTTTGGTTTTGGATGCTTGGAATCTCAATATCTAACACACCATTAACATCATTTAAGTCTCTCTTTATTGGGTTATTTGCCTTTGGGATACTTTAAAAATCCCATGAATGTTTATTAAATAGTATTTCAGTAGGTAATAATATGGTAACAATGTCCGAAAGCTTCATCGATTATGATTTGACTCATTTGATAATATCGTTCGATTTAACATAAGTAATTTTGAATTAATTAAATAGTGTTTTAGTAAGTATTTAGGAGTTCAAATTTTATAGATGATCGATAAGTAATGTTTAACACCTGCACTCTAGTTTAGGATTAAAACGAGTTATCTAGCCCGACTATAATCGAGTAAAAAATATAGATTCATGAGAGCCTTTAGCGGTGATAACTAATTGATAAATTTTTTTATGATTTCTTGGTGTTGATTAATTTACCTTAATGGTATATAATATGATTTTTATGATTGATTTACTTCAATGATAGCTTCCCAATTATTTATAGCTAAAATTTAATGCCATTTACTGTTTCGCTGATAAGAACCTTTGGTTTTATAAGCATTAAGATCTAATTATTCAATTCTCTTCGATTATGGACATTTGACTTAATACTTAACCCTACGTACTCAATGTTAATATTAATAAATAAATAATTTTAAAATATTTTATTTAATTTAATTACGAGATTAAGGATGTTGTATTTTGAATTGGTTGTTTGTTTAATTGTTTAATTTGTATTTGATAAGATAAACAAGTGTTTGTTCTTAGCTTATCATAATTTATCTGATGATTAAATTGGTAGAATTATTTATCTAAATTATTACCTAATAAATTCATTAAATTAAGGAACAGAGACAAAGCAGTTAATAATAACGAGAAACAGAGTCAACGAAGCAATGCATGGAAGGAAAAGCTTGGAATTACTCTTTACTTACCTTAAATATGCCACGTGGGAGTAAAGACAAAGAGCTATAATGCCCGCGAAATCTCGGGCGATAAACCAAAATAAATGAATAAATAAAAATAGTAAAAACAGAGAGCAATTGAATGAAAGGAGAATGAGAAACAGAACGGGAGAGAGGGAGAGAGGGAGATTTAAAAGGAGAGACTTTTTGGCAATATAGGATCCGCCTATAACGGAGACTGTCACAACAATTCTTCCGTTTCCCTCTCTTCTCTGTATTTCTTTTTTTTTTTTTTCAGCTCTGTTTCGGTCTCTGTCTCAGGTAGAGAGATTAAGAGAGAGAGAGAGAGAGGGAAAGGGAAGGAGAGGACTTCGAAGTTCCGAAGTGAAGGAACGGAACGGTAGATGTTCCCTCGTCCATGCCGGGATTTTGACCTTTCTCTCTCCTCAGGTTCCTTTTCTCGACGTGTTTTTTTTTCTGTTTTCGGTCTCCTTTTCGAACTTCATTATGAGTTACGACATGATCTCTCCTCCTGTTTGTTTTGATCATTATTATTGCATGCTTCAATGATTTCAACTTTGAACGTATTACTGATTCACGACTTTGCTAATTATATATATATATTCCTTATATTTGATGATATTTGAGATGATCATTTTATTATTCATTCTTTTTCTGATTTAATTTAGCATATCTTTAATTAGAAACCGAAGTTAGCATTATATATTTATATATGTATATATTCCTTAAATTTAATGATTTTTGATATGATCATTTTATTGTTCATTTTTCTTCTGATTTAAATTTAGCATATATTTAATTAGAACTGAAGTTAGTATTCTTTTCCCTAGATAAGGATTTATTGGTTTAATATATTCTCATGGATCTTTTTTTATTCTATGATCTAAAATGGTGTGAAGTGAGAGTCTTGCATTATTTTTTTTCTCTTTTTAATTCTTAATTTTCAGGTATTTTGTGTTCAAATTTATTTCTTTCAGACATAATCATATGTTCTTAGCCCGGAGTGATACTTATTAAAGTATTATTGCTTTGCAGATAGGGCGGTGTTCGTTTCTGTCAAATTTCTTAAGCACTTCAATGTGACGTATTGCCCCTGATAAGGTTTTGCTTGCTTAGCGGAGCTGCACCAAAGGCGTACTTCCTCCTTTTGAATGACTTATAACTTGAAGGTATGCAGTTGACTCACAAAGAAGATTGTTCTTACCATATATTGTATTATATAGGGAACTGAAAGGGGAGAAATTGTGCTCTTTGGAGAAGCAAATAGATAGTGAATACCATTAAGTTTAGCAAGGCTCGGTGATTTTCTATTAGTTTTGTGCAATTCCTGGTCATGCAATGGACTGCAGGGTTGTTAGCCTGAAGTATTGATGAATTTATCACCTTTAAGGGAGATTAGGTGTAGGGTGTAGCCACATAGGAGTCGACTTGCATTTTACACAGGAAAGATGTGTTTTAAGAAGATTGAATATACTACTTTTTAAAGAACGAATCAACATTGCTGATTGTTTGGTTACTATTAATTCATGTCTCCCTTTTGCTCTAAAGGGTGAATCTCTTAAACATTCCAACTCCTAACTAGTAAGGGATTTCTTATGGTGAACTGCTGCCTCCTTCAGTTGTTGGTTTCTGAAAGTATCAACTTATTAGCTGTTAATATTATATGAAAACAGTATGTTTCCATTTAAAAAAGAAAAAGAAAAGAAAAACAGTACAATTCCAATTAGCTTTTTGAGTCTTGACTCAGAAATACATAGAAAGATATTGAAAAGAGAAAAGTTCTATGCTGCATTTGTGCATGTTTAATTGATAGGTTGTCTTCTTACAATGACATTAAGGTCCTCAGTTTGGGAATTTTCTGGATACCATGCCTTTTGATATTTTATTACAACATTTTTTAAAATAACATTTGACATTTTTCTTGTATTATATAACAGGTCAGCTGTTTTGTTGAAGCTTATATGCTTTGTGCCTGCTCCTTTTGAGGTTGGCTTCACTAGTAGCAGTCGTTATAAAAGAATATCGACATAATGGGTAGCTGCATCTCAGTACATAGTGAAAACACAAGATCTAAACCATACAAAAGACACTTTGGTAGATCACGCAAGCGCCATGGAAAGATCGCTGCTTCCATTCCTGATGGACCTATGAAAAGGCTGAGTGATGCTGGGAGTCGTATGAGAGATTTTGCTGTTAGTGAATATGTTCATCTTGATTTTGAGAAGGGTGCTACAACCACCTGCAAGCGCTCTGAGATGTCTAGTAAGACATTTCATCTAACCCAGCTACAATGGAACCGCAGTCAAATTGATACCAATGGTCTCTTCTATCCATCTCTTGCTTTTACAAAATATCTGATAACCATAATCCAGAACTGTGCTTTTAGTTATACATGCGTCCATCCGTCCATCCATACATATGCATGCATGAATGTATTGATGGAAAGTGAGATGCATTTCTTTTAGCAGTATTATTGACATATGCTAAAGTCTTTTGGAAACTAAAAACAGATCAATTTATACTGTATAATGGAGGTAAAGCCGAATTAATATAGTGGATTTGGCGACCTAGAGACTTCTGACTCTAAATTCTCAAATTTAAAAACTGTTCAATACTTTTCCTTTTGTGCCCTTACTAAGAGAGTATTTCCTACCATATTGAAATCTGTGAGATAAGGTGGCTATTATTAATGGGGTTTAAACAACTGTCACTTTGAACAATTGGTGACTGTAGAAATGCAATTATTTTGCAGGAATATGCCAAGAGGAAGTATGGTTTGATTCTGTTAGCATTATAGAGTCTGAGTCAGATGATGATTCTGGTAGTGTGTATGGAGGTAATGAGCTTGCATTCATTGTAAGCAAGTGATCATTTCTTTCAATTATGATTTCTGATGCTTGACTGGTCACAAAGGCTTACACTTTTAATATTTTGGCTGTTGCCTTCAGATGCATTTTCTTCAGTAGGTAATGCAATTGGGAATATTTCAAATGCGCAATTGCTTCAGTATGAAAGTGCATCATGCTTTGTAGATAATGTGTCTAAGTATGAAGGATTTTATGAAAGTTACAGCATTAAGGGCCTGAAAGATGGCACAGTTGATTTGGGAGAGAAAACCCAGGAGAGCATAAAAAAATCGACAGTTATCATGCTTTCTGTGAAGAGGAAATCGTTTGAAGGGGATGAAATTACAGAATTTTGTAAGTAATGATCTTGTGTGAACATTTGGACAGAAATAGTTAGACATTGTTCATGATATTTGTGTGAGGCATAGCATTAATATATCCTTTATAAATGTATATATACAAAAATAAAATGAGTTGCCTTTATGATGCAGTGGCATGTCTTAATGCTACTTCAGCTAATTGAGATGAGATCTAGGTGGTTATCATTTCTATTTCCCTTTCTAGGAGAAGTTGGTACATCTTTTGAAATTATGGGAACTAAGAATGCAATTATAAGATGATGGCAAGTTTTATTGTTAAATTTATGAGAAGTATACTTCTAAAGTAGTGCAAGATATGAACTAAATATTTAGAAATTGATGATTTGTTGCATATAAGTTTTTAACATCTAGATCTTTAGAATATTCACTTCTGATTGGAAATATATGCCTGATGTCAAAATATTGAATAGGGCTTTGGATGTAGAGGGAGTTTACCTGTTGTTTTTCATTATTCATTTTTGTAATAATCTAGCATTTAAGACTGCATTTTATGAGAACCTACTTCAGTACAGTGTAATTACCTTTTTGCCCTTGTTATTGAGTGTAAAATTGCATATGTTTTACTTTTGGCTGGAACTAATTACAAGTTGATAACAGGTGCAGCTGACAGGTACTTGTACCGTCCCAGAGCAGGACTTCTAATTCCTTGCTCGGTAGAGAAACCAACTCCAGGAAGCTGGTCAGAGATTTCTCCTTCACTTTTTATGCTCCGTGGCGAGAATTACTTTAGGCAAGCCGTTTAGTTGTTGTCATCCACAACATATCATAACATTCATATCTGGAACTGTTAATGGATGATTTTATTTTTGTTTTTCTCGTATCTCATCGAGGTTGGACATTATCATGCAGAGATAAACAGAAGTTCCCTGCTCCAGACTATAGCCCATATGTACCAATCGGGGTTGATTTATTTGCCTGCCCACAGAAAGTGAATCACATTGCTCAGCACCTTGAACTGCCAAATGTAAAACCACACGAAAAAGTACCTGCTCTTCTGATTGTTAATATACAGGTTCTCTCTCTCTCTCTCTCTCTCTCTCTCTCTCTCTCTCTCTCTCTCTCATGTTTGTGCATATCTTACATACCTTAAAATTCTCTTGATTTTGATTGCTTAGAGTTAGTCACAGTTAGAGTCATCTACAGAAAAGAAAGAAACAAAAGGTTGTAAGTAAATGAATTGCTTGTAAAGAATGAATCCCAGAAAAAGGAGACAGAAAAGGAAAGAATAGTTTTCAGCTAGTTCATCGTTGCTAGGTACAATGATTTGGAACAAATTAGCTATAAAGCAGTAACATCAAGTTGTTTTACAGAGTAGATGTTTCATGCTGGCATTTCTGGGAGTGCTAATGGAAAAATTAATTGATATAATTTGCTTACATCTTAGTTACTGTATCATTTTTATGGATTTTATAAGTTGTTTGGTTTTCTTCTTGTAGGTGCCTACTTATCCTGCCACCATGTTTCTTGGTGATGCCAATGGCGAAGGCTTGAGCCTTGTCTTATATTTTAAGGTGTCAGAGACTTTTGACAAAGATATATCCGCTCACTTCCAGGACAGCATAAAGGTAGTCCCTTACCAATTTTCTCATACAACTTTAGAATCAATGTTGACTGACAAAGAATTGGAGTCCTGCCATATTAAATGGGCTAAGTAAAGAAATCAAATCTATTTCTTTAACTGATCCAGCAGCAGAAATTGTCGTCCATATATTTCCATTCAAATGAAACTTCAATTGTCATACTTGTAATCATGTTGCTTGCTTGAAATCACGTACTCTTTCCAGAGGCAAATGGCATCTGTCACATATTTTGGTTATTTATCTTCTTTCCACCTTGGAAACCATTTTGGTTGATGGTCATGGTTGTACTCTGTTACAGAAATTTGTTGACGATGAAATGGAAAAGGTTAAAGGGTTTGCGAAAGAGTCCACCGTTCCTTTCAGAGAGAGGCTAAAAATCATGGCTAATTTAGTTAACCCAGACGACCTCCAGTTAGGTTCTACCGAAAGGAGGCTTATTCAAGCTTATAACGACAAGCCAGTGCTTTCACGGCCTCAACACAACTTCTATAAGGTAATTCAATAACTTCTTTTTTCACAGTTAATTTCTCCGCTGCTTTCACATGCTGAATTATATGCAACGCAGTCCAATGATTTACACTTCACACTGTTCTTGTCCTTTTGACTGATATCATGACCAAATTTAACAAGTTGTGGGCTCTGTTTTTGTCATCCAGGGACCCAATTACTTTGAGATTGACCTGGATATACACCGGTTTAGCTACATATCTAGGAAAGGACTTGAATCATTCCTAGAACGCATGAAGAATGGAATAGTTAATCTGGGTTTGACTATTCAGGTAAATTCTTGCCACTCTCTCTCTAATTTTAAGCAGCCATGGATTGCAACATGAGGAAATTAATCAAGGGAACTGCCCAAACTTATGTGATATGTTAATGTTGTCAGGCACAAAAACCAGAGGAACTGCCAGAGCAAGCCTTGTGTTGTTTGCGCTTGAACAAGATTGATTTTGTAAATCACGGCCAAATCCCTACCATTGTAACAGTCAAAGAGGATTAATTTTGAACAGACACCAGGAGGTTGATGCATTTAATCCAACAATACCTGCAGAGAACGAAAGGTTCGGGGAAAAAAAAATGAAAGAAATTTTTGTATTTGATAAAATATAAGAAAAATTTTCATTTTTTTTTTGAATCCGAAAGTGAAAATTTGTTGGTAAATTTTAAAAATCATTTAAATCATCTGTATTAGTATTCTTTGCATTCATTTACATTGTTACTTTTCTTATCCGCTGCCTTTGTAATTTCTATATGCTCACCAGCAAGCTAATTACCATAAAATCTAGACATCATAATCTGTTGTATGGTACCTAATGTTGGTTCAAGAGAGTTATTGGGAGATTTATCTCTGTACGTTACTAAAGTGATAGATTTAATTTTTGTATAATAATTTTTAAAATTTAATTTATGTATTTTTTAAAATTAATAATGTCAGTCCAATTATTAATAATGTTAAAATTTTTTATGTTTATGCGGACATGTATTTTGGTTACATTGACGTGGTATTTTCTTATTGATGTAATATTGAATTTGATAGTATGACAATGATAACGTGATATTTCATGAATAATACAATAGTAGTATTCATATGATATGATCAAGCATTGACATGATATTTGTAAGTGTTGATGTGAAGTTATTTGATATGAGATTGTTGTATGAAATTTTAAATTATTAAATAGAGATGTCTACAACAACCATATGCTAAATTTAAAAAACAAATAAATTTAATGTTTAGGACGTGTTTGGGTAGTTTAAGCTTTTTTTTTTCTCTATTTGACAATAACAGTTAATGTAAAATGAATTATATCATGTCATATACTATATGAAAAGAAAATATCAATTAAAGATCATCAAATTTTCTATTAAAATCAAAAAATTCTACAAATACAAATCAAAAAATTAATAAAATTCGATAATAATAAAAAACTTTTAATTGTATAAACGGACATAATTCAAGAAAATTTTTTATTATTCAAGCCAATTTAATTGTACATCTCAAAGTTGACCAGCTCTAGGTATTTATGCACAAGGATAAAGTTAAAACTGGTATCAAAGTGGTACACAACACTAATATTGCACCCCAACAGAACAATAACATAAGGTAGGCAGCAAAATCTACCCAAAGGTTTTGGCAGAGATGAGCTATAAATAATTTAAAACTTCTTGAGATTCATACACTATCAGTCAACAATCATATGAAACAACATTAATTCAGTATTTCCATGTACAAAAAGAATGCACGGAATAACAGAAACTAAATACAGTATGCCCTCTAAACTAGTTTTACATACAACAACAATGCCCCTCCTAGTTCAATCCGAGTGAGTTTTGTTCCAAACTGCCTTCCTTCTCATATGTTTCTTCCTCGGTTCTTTTGTATATCATATCTGTTGGGTGGATGGCCTCCATTAAAACATCGGCTGCCAGTGTTGAATTACAAACTTTGGCAAAATGCCATGGATTTTGCCTGATATACATGGGAAATTTCCATGCTGTACTCATGCTATCCTGCCCCTTCCCATAGTTGAAGCACAGTAGAAATTATGTTATCTGCTCTTCTTTTAGCCGTAAATGTGCTACACGCTGTTGACTATTGTTCCCAAAATCTGCCCTGTTAGTTACAGTTTGTGTTCTTACTTGTGATGCATTACTATTGGCTGTGTTATGGCTGCTAGTTTTGGCAGCTGGTACGTCATGATTATGTTTTCCCTCATATGTTGTTATAACAGCCTTGGGATCTGTTGAAGCCCTCTCAACATGCTTACGCACGTTGCATCCAGGGGTTGTACATTTATAGTAGCTTCTGTAGAACCAGAAAAGATGCATCAGGAATGCTCCAAAATAGATCACATAAAAGGTAGTCATATTTCCAAATGGAAATCAGACATATTGTAAAATTGATAGAATTATAAACACATTCACACCAATTGAACAGAACAACAACCCAACAGTTGAGAGGTTTTGGCAAAGACAGTCTATGTAGAAATGTCTCCATTGTCTAAGGTTGAAAAGGTTAGACACCAGATGAAAATTTCAACATATGTCATAACCAATATGCAATTTCTTAGTAAAAATATACACAGCTAATGATATTTGCGTTGGAACAATCCAACATATTAAGACAGTTAATGACTACCTTTCTTCATAAGATACCACAAGCCATTTTCATAAATTCTTGATCCTATTTGTATTTTCCAATTTTTAGGACCAATGGCTCAAGAGGCTTTCTATTTGTTATCACTCCAAAAAGTCCAAAATTCTTTTGTAAAGCTGACACCAGGAATCAATGGTTCAGATTAGACGAGTAACAACCCAGGACACGTAACCAAGAATGAACCACTTTGCAGTAGATAGTTATTTCTATTTTCCACAAGCAGGGGCATTACCTTGGGTAAGGATTGCCTTTGACAACTTTCTGTCCATACTTGCGCCACCTATAGCCATCATCCAATAGATCAACTTCACTTGTTGTCTGCACAATAATTCTAGGTTCTGTGACAGTCCTATGTGAAGAAGCTGGCTCTGAGACCCTATATTCTGTACTTCTGCACATAAAGATGAAATTTTGTTGGCTAGAGATTTCATCACCAATTCAATGGAGCATATAATAGGTTTATGTAAAATTTTTACATACCTTCTTTTGGGGCCAGGTTCATCTTCATCTTTTTCATCAGCAACAGTTTCATTGTCACCTGCTTCCTCACTATCACTGGTCCCAGAAAGATGTTCAGCTGTAGCTTGGCTAGATTCATGGTCCTTCTTAGACATTGAATAAGCAGATGTCCCTTCTTTCAATATGTTCAAGTTGCCACCCTGAGGTTGGGAAGCTGATTCAGAATTTCCCTGATTATTTGGATTTCCATTTAAGCTTCCACTATCCTTTGCACGCTTATTTGACTGAGGAGGTTGATGGTTGTGTTGCCCTTTGTAGATAATTTCAGTTACTTGGCCATCTAGTGATCTCTCAACCTTCTTCTTGACTGGACAACCTGGATGCGTGCACTTATAATAACTTCTAGGAAATTCACTGCCCTTTACCTGCTTCTGCCCATACTTTCGCCAGTTGTAGCCATCATCAGCTGGCTTATCAACAATAAATGAAGCAGGTTGGGATCTCGGATCAGAGTGAGATACTCTGGGAGGTTCCTTCACAGTAACACTAGAGTCTGGCAATGATGTTGGGATCTGCTGGTTTGTGGTTGTACTGGCAGTAATTGATGAAACCTGTGCCAAAGATGCTGCTGGTGCTGATGAATATTCAGCCTGCATTTGGGCTTGTGCAGCCTGAGCTGTGACCTGTGCTAGGGCCTGCTGGTGTGTCATCCCAAAAGGACCCTATACATTTCATAAATAGGGAAAATTGGTTAATAACTGAAGTATGAAACATATATTGTAACTACTAATAAATAAAGGCCAAAGTACTACATTTTCTCTTAGCTTTTGATCTTCTTCAGTCTTCACTACTATATAGCTGGGAGTGAATCAGAGGCACTCCCCCTTACACAACTAAAAGCTATCCAAAGATTTTTACACTGCTGATAGGACAAGTTCCAGTCAATTGACAGTGGGACAACCAATTCACACACTTGAAAGGTAACCATTCACCAACCATATTTATAAAACATATTTATGTGTATCTTTTTCATATGCAAACACTCAAAGTGGACAAACATTCAGATGACAAGATACAGATTATAGACCATAGAACACTAACCTTTTCTGTTCTTGTACTCGCTCTACTACTTTCACAGACACTATGTGCTATACAACAAGCAAATGGAATTAAAGGATAAATTAAAATAGCAAAGATAGTATGTTCCTTCACAATAACATGTTAAAATAACAATCAGGAGACCACTTAAAGCAAATAAACTTTTATCATCTATTATATGGGCATTAATTCAAACAGGTAACACACGGAGATTGCTGCCACCAAGAAAGACTTCCCCACATGCAAAATGCAACACATTGAAATTCAATTAAGATATATCCACGAAAATGAGCTTGGAGGTCAAAGCTTTCTACTTTAAGCGTATGTCATTCCTTTCATGCAGCAATCCATCAATCCTTTGACCTCAAAAACATTGCAGACTTTACATTTAGCATCAGCATATCAAACTATCTCAGCATTTAACATAACTACCAAGGATAAGCAAATCCTTAGTTCTTAAAGATAATTCCCAAGTTACACGATATTCCACTTAGGAACATAAGGTCTTGGCATAAAGCCATATCCTTTTCCCTTTCTCTTCCTTATACCATCCCTTAAATCCTTTCCCTCTGTCTACTCATATAAACACTTATATACCAACACAACTCCAACAAGAAAGCCAAGCATATTTGCATATCCATTTGTCCAGCCATTCTTTAAAGTTTTGCCTTTTACATTAACCTTAAGCAAACTAATTTTCAGATACCAAAGACGAATCCGATTCACTAAACAGACAAAACAGATCCCAATTCCTCTTTTCCCAACCTTCTTCTTCTTTATAGCCAACATTGCCATATGAACAACAATAACAACAACAGCAATAATAATAAGCTATTCCCATTTACTTAGAATTAAGGAACTCTCCTTCCCAATCTCAAAAGTACCTTTCTAGACTGAACCGATACAATTAGGAACTCATAGCAAATTTAACAATAACCAAATACATAAATATTAAATGTTATTACTACCCAAAAATCCTTTCATTTCAACGAATACCCTCCAAAAAGTTAAACTTCAAAAGTTACCTGGGCACCGGGAGAGAACACACTGAACCCAGGAGACTCCAACAAGCTCGCAGGGCTCAACCCTTGCAGCACAGTAAACATAGGCGGCGGTTGCGCTATCACCAAACCGGCCGGTTTATTCTGCCTAAACCGCAACCCCGTGTCACCACCACCTCCAGAGCCGCTAACGTCACCCTGCTCTTCCGTGGTAGCAGCAGTAGGAGGAGGAGGAAAGTTCGGTCTCTGGGCAGCTGCTGCAGCCGCCGGCGAGGCCATGGCACCAGCAAGTAGCTGAGAGAAGGATTTAAACTCGTCGGTGTCGGAGAAGAAGTTGGAAACAAGGGTCATGGGTCCTGGGCTAAATCCCATCATGCCTGACCCACCGTTGAATAGCGCCTCCGTGAAAGGCCTTGGTGGAGGAGTAATCGTGGGTCTTTGAGACGCCACCGTTTTGGACGGCTGGTGCTGCTGCTCTTGGCTCTCAGCCATTAAAACATCAAAACAAACACAAAACAAAACAAACCCGATAACAAAAAAAAACCTGTCTTTCTGTTTCTGTTCCGCTGTATTTCCTAATTTCCCCTTTTGCTTTTGCCTTTGGTTTGCGGATCTGAAACCAAGTT